ACCGCTCCCCCTGTGTGTGTGGGGAGTGGGGTGTGTGTCACCCCCTTCTCCTCCAGTGTGAACCTTAAAGCCTTAAAGATAAGAAAGTAAATAAAAAGAATCCAACTACGCAGTATTTCTTTTTAACAGGGGCTCGGTCAACTTGATGTTAATTTGAATGTTTGTACTGCATAGTTCTGATTGATTGCCGTTGAACTAGCTTGTATACGAGTAATTTTACTAGGTGTCCCATATTCAAGATAGAGAACTATGGTCACCCTACCAAATGGTCTTTTTGTTGTTTCCTAAAGTTGACAAATATCCACCAGGGATTGCAACGAGTTCACTAAATGCATTTCTGTTGGTGGTTTAGATATGATCTGAACTCAAGTCTCCACTGCTGGCTTGACTTCAGTGAGCCAAACATGCAACTAATCTCATCCCTGCAAATCCCTCAATTATGTATAATTTGCTAACTTTTAAATCTGAATAATAAAGCATGTCAGTTTCTTCTGAACTGAGGGGCACAAACCTCAGCATTCACTGTTATTATTAATTCCTTTTTATTTATTTGTGGTACAGTAGCATTTGGGGGCCCCATTGTGTTAAGTGCTGTACCAACTCATGGTGAAAGAGACTCTGGTGTGGCACTAACCTGTGGACACTGCATGGATCTAACAGGAAGTAGTCTAGAGAGAGAGATGAAAAGAGAGAATTCAGGAATTATCTGAATAAGATACTGAAGCCAGTTTCACCCCTTATGTTGTTGATGTAACTCCCTCCTTGCCCCCCAAAATGAAAAATTTGTCAAAAAAGGACATTTCCCATGGGAATTTCTATTATGATGAAAAAGCCATTTTTCATTCAAAAACAGTTTCCATTTAAATTTTTTAACTAGCTCTAATGAAATATTCCATGTTTGATCTTCAACTGGAAGTGATGTTTGTTTGTTTGTTTGTTTGGGAGGGTGGGGTGGGGGTTGGATTTGTTGTTTGTTTGTGTTTGGCCATTGTTTTTTGGAAATTAAGCCAAATCCCTTCAGCTGCTTTGGTGTTTTGTGAAAGTATAAGTTAAACAAAAAAACACTTTTCCAAATGTAAAAAAAAAATTCTAATCACACTTTAGGGAACAGGGAAAATGGCAGAAGTTTGAAACTTTAAAGTTGGCATGGACTTTGGTTAAAGCTTTGGTTAAGGAATAGTGGCTATGCTTCTTTTGAAAAAAACTGAGTTTTCTGGTATGAAGAAAGAACAAATACCCTGCACAATTAGGGCTGTAGTTAAATGAACACTGGTTAGTTCAGGAACTTCCATGCTGTACTGGTGAAGTTGACAACGATTATTAGAAGATCCACAAGCCAATAAGGAATTTATGTAATTATGTAGCAAGGAGTTTACCAGCTTGGCAAGCTGCTCTGTCTACCTGGATTTTATATCATGCCCATCACTATGGATTCAAAATATCTCTGGAGCTTTTCTTTTCCTTGTTTTTTTCCCTTTCAATATTTTTTCTCTTCCTTTTAATTTTTTCTTTAAAAATCCCCAAGAAATTAAATGCAGAAAATAAGTTGCATTGTTGCAAAATTAAGGCTGTCCACTTAAAAACATGAAAAGGCAAAAATTTAAGTTTTGAGATCAGTGTGAACTCAGCCATATTTTACATGTACCATTTCCTACTCCTGTTTTTCTTATTCAGTGTGTACCTTAGTAAATTTCCATTAATGTTGGCAGGGGTACTGCATCTAGGAGTGCTGGGGGTGCAGCAGCACTCCTTGACTTGAAGTGGTTTCCATCATATACAGGGTTTACAGTTTGGTTCAGTGGCTTTCAGCACCGCCACTATACAAATTGTTCCAACTCAACTTAATGTTGGAAAATGTGTTGCCCATGATGTGAGTTAATGCTGCTGTTGGAATCAACTTTTGCATTTCCTAACTTTCTCGGCACAGCTTCAATATAACAGTAGCACAGTTCTGTACATTTGAGAATACAGTCCTTAACTTAATTAGGTCTCTATCCCCAGTTGTTGCTATTTATTATTTGTATTTTGGTAGTATCCAGAGGCCCCAGACGGATTGGGGCTACATTGTGTTAAAATGCTCTTGAAATACACAGTCAGAGACAATCTATACTGAGAAATGGGATTAAAAAGCAGGAATGTTGCTGAAAACCAGACGTTGACATTAAGCTGAACTCCTCCTCCATCGAAAAGACATATGCTCTTTATTGCCTCTCTATTTCTAAACAGAGTGTATAGGGTGCTACTGTATAGAAGAACATGGACAGATTAGCTAAACTAGTTTGTGAGCTAAAATACATGATGCTCTCTGGCTAAATATGTCAGGAGCAGCAGAAACGAAATAGCCTGGGACTTGGATGACATGATCTATTTTTAACCAGTCAGCATTCCATACTGTCCAGGCCTCCCAAATGGGCAGGAATTGCAATCAATTCTGCAGGAGAATGAACTTTTTCCTGGAGACTGCAAGGAGTGTAAATCCACAAGGACATAAAGGAAAATGAAGAACCAGCAAAGTGATCTTCCCTTCCATCCCCTCACATTTAAATTCCTTAGAGAATGGAAAATAGCAGACAAAATAAGAGGAACTTGCTCACAAAAGAGAATACAAGTATTGCAGCAAGAACACAGTGCACTCTGTTGGGCTCTTTGCTGCCTTCCTAGTATATGAGAACGGCAGAATGTCCAGTGATTAGATCCCAGGGCTAGGTTTTGTTCCTAACTTTGCCATGGATTCACTATATGATCATAAGCAAGTCACTTCATGTGTCTACACCTTAGTTATCTTATCTATAACATGGGGATAATGGTTTGTGAAGTGCTTCAAATATTCAAAAGCATTAAGCACAAAGTATTATTAATATTACTATAATACCTATTTACAGGCTAGGAAAACCTTTTGTTTCAAGTTGGGTAAATCAACGCATAGTATCCCTTTTCTTCTGCCAATACACTTGCAATTTCAGACCCTGGCGATCTGGATCTGCATGTTTCCAGTTCTAGTCTGAATCTAGTTTGCTTGTTGGAACACTTTACACAACTATTTACTATTCTGTTTATCCAGCTTTCAGTTTAGTCATTAATCCAATGCATTTTAAAATTTAAATAATTCATTAAGTCAAACTATGCCTTAACTTACACCCTGTACAACCTTGTTGATTTTAGAGTGGTGTTAATCAGGGCAGAATTTGACCCAATATGCTCAGATTGTTATAGGGGACTAAATCATTACTTTTGATCTTTGTTTTCCTCCCACCACACTGCCATCTTAGGGGAGCTTCCTATCACAGTGAATTGTTTATAGAGGGTTTAAGAGGGTTTATAGAGGGTTTGTAAGATTTGATTACAGTGATTTCCCCCCCAATACATTGGCATGCCCTAATCGAAAGACTGGGAACTGAGGTATCTGGTGTTAAGTAGGTTTATAGTAGTAAGAGATGGAAAAGACCTGTTAGATTATTAAGTTCATCCTCTTGTAAGGGCAGCATGTAGTCCCCTGATAGAGGATGTATTGGATATTAAACTGATACTGCCCTGGATAATAGCCAAAAGGCTGTGAAGTAGTGATGGGCTGACCAAACATAAAAGCTCTGGATGGGGTTTTGTGACTATCAAAATCTGTCACTCAGGACATTTTTTTGTATTTTTGGTTATTGTCAGTGATGTTTGCCAGAATATGATCATTTCACAGGGTTCCAGCCAGTTACAAAACTTGTTTCTCTCATTTAAGGTGACAAAGATTCCAAACTACTGAAAATAACTAGGTTGAGCTTGATGCAAGAAAGCAGTCGCTCCTTTTTAATTTAAAAGAAAGAAAATAAGTCAGAACCCAAAATAACTAGTGTATCACAGATCTCAGCAATACTTTTCTCAGGTGCCTTCTGTATGTTGGTGCTATTCAACTCTTGTTTATTATATGTGTAACCCTTCTGCCCGTCAGAGCTGGCAGTAACAAAGGCCGGGTTCAGTATCTGGAGGTTCCGTTTCAATAACACATTGCAAAACCGTCTCGAGCCCCCACACAGTGACCTGGGACAATTACATACCAACCCCTTGGGCACCTCTAAGAGGCAATACTTCCCCTCTCGCAAGCACAGAGTCTGAGTGTAGCAAAAGCCTTTTAATAAAAGAGGGAAACATTACGGCACTATGTTGGGGAAACATCACAAACAGGATTCTTAACACAAACCATGAGAAAAAGACCCACCCCCAAGTAAGTTTGTCAGTGTCCTTTTCCCCTCAGGGTCTTAAGTCCAGCAACCCAACAGTCACCCCCACCCACAGTTTCTGTCCTTGGTCAGTGCAGCTCCCAGATTTCAGAAGTTCATCTGCAGAGTTTACCTCCCAGCCTGGGTGGAAGTGGGTGGAGGTATGGGGACAGCTTGCATACTCTGCTGCTCAGGTCGACAGCCGATTGCCATGCCTTTCCACAGGGTTCTGCTACAGTCTTCACCACCAGCTGTCCTGCTGGCCACTCCTCTCCGCTAGCCTTGCCTCTCCACACCTCTCTGCCAGTCATCCTGCTAAACACTCACCAATATGTCTTCAGGCCCTCCCCCTACTTAACACAGCTCTCAGTGATTTCAGCTCTTAGTAACTTTAGTGATTTTAGCGGTTAGTTGGGGACCCCAGGGCTGCTGCACTCAGAACCACTTGCTTAGACATAGGAATCAGTTATTTCACCTCTGCAGCACATAATAAGACTCCTAATAGAGCCAAAATTAGCTCTGCTATTACAACAGGGAAGAGGTGTAAAAGTGGTGTTTGGGGCCCTCCAACAGGGTCCACACTGCCAGGTACAAATACCTGTCACCCCTCCCCCTCTCAATTCACTAGTCTTTGGAACCCATGTCCCTTGCCTAGCGAGTGTTACTTAGTTGAGGGTGAGTCCCTCAGTCATAAAATGCCAAGTACAGTTCTACTGTCCTTGATTCACATAACCAGAATAACAACGCTTTATTATTCCTGCCCCAATAACAAAGAGACATGGGATCCCACAGCAGCCAAAGTGACCATTTGGGCAAGCAGTCCATCATGCTAGGCAGGGTGGGTGTGCCCATGCAAACGAGATCAGCCCCTGAAGTCCCTTTCCACAGCTCACCACCAGATGTCAGGGGAGAGCTCATTCTGATTCTGCTTACATATGGAGAGATGAAGCTGTGCTGCAAAAACCTACAGGGAGGATAACAAGATAAGAGCTTTTCATAAACTTACACTTCATACAGAGATCCTATGCTGCAACCTTAGGGTTAGGGTGACCAGACAGCAAATGTGAAAAATCGGGACAGAGGGTGGGGGGTAATAGGAGCCTATATAAGAAAAAGACCCAAAAATCGGGGCTGTCCCTATAAAATCAGGACATCTGGTCACCCTACTTAGGGTGCTCAGATAGATTTTCACAAGTAAATTTCCAGCCCCAGGTCTTTCCTTCCCTTGGGCACTCTTTAACTCTAAAAACTGATTAAATGATAAATATTGCTGCAGAAGTGGCCTCTGAGGTGCTGACAGACACTGCTCAGAGGGGGGATATTTGGAAATGTCAGGAATAGGAACATAGGTACCACAGCCAGTCACAGCAGTCCTCTTTAGTTCTGGATGGGAGTCCAGTCAACAATGAGGACAGAGGGCTGAACAATGAATCTTTCTCACCTCCTTGGAGCAATGGACTATTGCTGAGCCCAAGTTGTTTAGGGCAGAGATGCATATGACAACAGGGCCAGTTAATTCAACAGAGGGGAATCTGGCAGTCTCATTCTTAAATTGTTTCCCTCCCTCTTCTGGGCAAATTTGTCTGTCTGTTCTCCTCTGTGCTTCTCCTCTTGCTCCATATCTTTTTAGGAATGAGTCATCTTGTGGAGCTGAGCTTTCTGCTCCTTTCTTACTACCCCCTTCTATGGAGGCAGCTGCATTATTAAAGGGTTATGAAAAAACCCTCCCTCACAACAGGAACTGCAGCACTGGTTTCCCTCCTCACAGCAGACTGGGCTTTTAATGCATACCAAAAGATGTCATATGTCCCTGGTGGGTGAGATGAGAAGTGTCTTTCATAAACATTTTTTCTTTACTTCTGTCAAGGCTAATTCCCCACTCTGGCACTTCCAGTGCAGAAGGTGGGAGTCTGCAAGGATTCTAAAAATTAATACTGGCCACTCCAAGCTTGTATTAAACTCCCACGGTTACAACTTTTCTCTGACTTGGGTGGTAGCAGCATCTATCAATCCAAAGTGCAGAACCCCTTTGAGAGCTCAGGAAGGCGCACTTGGGAATGCTTTCCTGTGTGGTACCCTCAGTCCTTTCACACACACCCCTCCGGGGAAGAGCTGAGGAAAAAAAAAGGAAATCAGCTGTTGCCACCAGCTAATTAAACAACATGTGCACAAACCTCTTAAGACACAAAAATCCAATTTCGTTCTTAAAAAAGATAAATTTTATTAATAAAAAAAGAAAGAAAATAATCTGGGAACTCAGGCTATTATTAGATTTTAAAAGAGCAATTACAAGAATTAAGCACCAAGAATAGCTTTCTTGAAGTCTAGTTTAAAGGTTACAAGCAAAACAAAAGCACCTGGGGTTAGCATAGAGGAATCCACAAGCCATAATGAAATAAAAGGGATAAACCTAATTGTGTCTTCCTAGACATTTCCTGATCTACTTACATATCTGGGGTTTTAAATGAGTAGTTTCTAGGTATGATACTGATGACTTTTTCATAGCTGGCCCAGGCTTCTTACAGCATAGTTGCTGGCCTGTCTGCCTCTCCCCAGGAGAACAACAGACAGAAAAAAGGGGAGGTTTTTTTCAATTTTAAAAAGTTCTAGCCTTCCCATTGGCTCTTTTGGCCAGGTGCCCACTCACTTCCTTTTACTTATACATAGCAGTGAGACTTTTTAAGCCTTTACAGGTAGAGCAATTAGAGAACAGCTACTAAGTGGGATTTTTAGGGCAGGTCTTCACTACGGGGGGAGAGGGGGGTCGATTTAAGATATGCAAATTCAGCTACGCAAATAGCGTAGCTGAATTCGACCTATCGGAGCTGACTTACCCCGCTGTGAGGACAGCGGCAAAATCGACCTCCGCGGCTCCCCGTCGACGGCTCTTACTCCCACCTCCGCTGGTGGAGTAAGAGCGTCGATTCGGGGATCGATTGTCGCGTTCCGACGAGACGCGATAATTCGATCCCCGAGAGATCGATTTCTACCCGCCGATTCAGGCGGGTAGTGTAGACCTAGCCTCAGCTACTGACTGGCTGAGTGTCCATAAAAGGGAGCTACTCCTCCCCCCTTCATCTATCACATGCCCCCCAAATCACAGATGGTGTTGGCCAGCCTGGTTCAACCTAGAGGTTTAGGAAAACAGAGTTAATAGTATATATGCACCTCTAATTTTACTACTAATTACATGAAGAACTAAACAGTATTATCCACATTTTAAGGACTACAATGACTTAGAATATAGGGACACTTTTACTTGGCTGATTCTGGGAAACCTGCCTGGGAGAGTGCATCAGCCACTTTGTTAGAGGCTCCTGAAATGTGTTGTATTTCAAAATCAAAGTCTTGAAGAGCTAAACTTCACCGAAGTTTTTTGTTAGTCTCTTTGACTGTGTGAAGCCACTTCAGTGCAGCATTGTCAGCCTGTATGTGGAAATGCCATCCCCAAATGTATAGGTGTAGCTTCTTCAGAGCATACACAATGGCATAACATTCTTTTTTCGCAGTCCAAAAGGGAGCACATTAAATTCATACAGCCCTACATGGGCGATGAAGGCTGACCTTTCCTTGTCTGGGTCATCTAGCGGCACTTGCCAATACCCCTTAATTAAGTCTAAGGTGGAGATGAATTGGGCACGTCCCAGTTTCTCCAACAGCTCATCTGTGTGTGGCACTGGACAGTTCTCTGGGCGAGTTACAGCATTTAGCTTACGGTAGTTCATGCAAAAGCGAATTTCCCCATCTGGTTTGAGAACCAGAACTACTGGAGAGGCCCATGCACTCTCAGAGGGGTGGATTACACCCATCTGTAACATGTCCTTGATCTCCATTACTATCACGGCTTTGGCTTGAGAAATCATCCGGTAGGGTTGGGTTCTAACTGGGCGAGCATCACCTGTGTCAATGGAGTGGTAAGCCCGTTCTGTCTGTCCTGGGGTGGCTGAAAACATTGGCACGAAGCTGGTGCACAGCTCCTGGATTTGCTGTCACTGCTTATACCCAAGGGTTATGGAAAGGCTCACCTCTTCTATGCCACCGTTGCTTTTCCCTTCTTAGTAGACTCCTTCAGACCATTCAGCGTTCTCTCTCTCCTGGGCTGTAAACTGGAGAACCTTGATTTCTTGGGAATAAAAGGGCTTTAGAGAATTAACATGGTATATCTTAGGTTTTAGGGTAGGGTCTGGGAATGCTATGAGGTAATTAACAGCTCCCTCGTACTCTTGGACCATAAGTGGCCCCTCCCACAACGCTTCCATCTTATTGGCCTGGAGCGCTTTCAGGTTATGGCTGGGTCCCAGGAACTGTATCTACAACCGCTGCAATAGACTCTGGTCTGGGGTCTAGTTCCACCACCTCTGGCTGGGTCCCCGGGCCTGTGGTATCAGGGGACACAGACTAGGTCCTTCTAGGAGGCTCAGGAATGGAGTTAGGTGTGGAAGCCTGTTTAGCCTGGCTGTGGGTGACCATCCCCACCCTTTTTGTTAGCCTCACATGGTTGGCTAAGTCTTCTCCCAGCAGCATGGGAATGGGATAATCATTACAGACTGCAAAGGTCCATATTCCTGACCAGCCCTTGTACTGGACAGGCAACTTGGCTGTAGGCAAGTAAAAGAGTTGGCCTTAAAGGGTAGCACTGTCACTTGGGCCTCTGAGTTGATGAATTTGGGGTCCACCAGGGATTGGTGGATAGCTGACACCTGTGCTCCAATGTCTCTCCACGCAGTAATCTTCCTCCCGTCCACACTCTCAGTTTCCTTTAGGCTAGGTCTATACTACCCGCCTGAATCGGCGGGTAGAAATCGACCTCTCAGGGATCGATTTATCGCGTCCCGTTGGGACGCGACAATCGATCCCCGAATCGGCGCTCTTACTCCACCAGCGGAGGTGGTAGTAAGCGCCGCTGACAGAAAGCCGCAGAAGTCGATTTTGCCGCCGTCCTCACAACGGGGTAAGTCGGCTGCGATACGCCGAATTCAGCTACGCTATTCACGTAGCTGAATTTGCGTATCTTAAATCGACTCCCCCCTGTAGTGTAGATGTACCCTTAGCTCTGGGGGTATTTGCAAGGCATCTGGGCCTGAAGGCTCTCAGTGGGATCCCAGGGTGATGAGTTGCAGTTGGCTGGTGCTCTTGGGGCAGTTGGCCTTCACATGCCCCAGCTTATTACATTTAAAGCATCACCCTGCTGACTGTGGGCTGGGGCGAATTGGGTGGTTGGAGAGTAGGGTGGTGGGACGAGGGGGCATCTGGGGTCTCCCTGGCTGTGTGGCGGGCTCCTCCTTGTGAGATGGGGCCTTGGGCTGATTCTGATGGTGGGGTGTCATCTTGGGTTGCCCCTTTTGGTATCCCCACCAACTGCTATTAGCTTTCTTCTTCTCCACCACCTCCGCCCATTTGGCTCCGATCTCCCCCTCCTCAATTACAGTTTTGGGCTTCCCATCTAGGATGTACCTTTCTATTTCCTCAGGAACACCCTCTAAGAACTACTCCATTTGTATTAGGAGAGACAGATCTTCCAGAGACTTAACATTTGCTCCTGATATCCAGGCATCTTAATTTTTTACAATGTGGTTGGCGTGTCGGGAAAATGCCACATTTGGTTTCCACCTTAGGGCTCTGAACTACCAACGGGCATGCTCAGGTGTTGGCCCCATCCTAATTCTGGCCTTTTGTTTAAAAAGTTTGTACTTGTTCATGTATTCTTTAGGCATTTCAGCTGCCACCTCTGCTAAGGGCCCACTGAGTTGTGGCCTCAGCTCCACCATATACTGGTCTGTAGAGATGTTGTATCCAAGGCAGGCCCTTTCAAAATTTTCTAAGAAGGTGTCTGTATCATCGCCTACCTTGTATGTGGGGAATTTCTTGGAATGGGGAGCGGTACCTGGAGGAGGACTGTTAGGGCTAGTTGGCTGACCCAGCTTAGCCCTTTCTAAGTGGCAGCTCTGTCACGGCTTCTAAGCACTTCGCTACCATTTCCAGCTCCAAGAGCGTCGCCTCTCTTCTCTCCTCCGCCTCCAAGCGCTTATCCTCTGCTTCCAAGCGCTCCTCCTCTGCATCTGCCTCCAAGCGCTTCTTCTGTAGGAAGAAATTCCTGTCTTCTGCAGTTAGAACTTGGTCTGGGTTAAGGGCATCCCTCCATCTTGGCACCTGGATCTCAGGTTCGGGAGGGCTGACCATTCCCTCAGGGAAATCTCCGCTCCCCCATCCCCTCCCTGCATTTCTGAAAAGGAGCTAGATGTCCGGGCTTGATCTGGGTCTGTCTTCTCCGTGGCGTGCCGGTTTGGGAAGACTGGTTGCTCTAGGGTTTTGGTGCCCGACCGCAACCTCATGCACAGGGCTGCCCTACTCTAGCCTATTTCGTTGCCACGAAGCTAGAAAAAAAATAAACGGCTTGTTGGACTCCCTGGCTTTGCAGGCTGAATCCTTTGCGTGTCTGTTCCCCCTCAGGCAACCTCCCTGGCTTTGCAGGCTGCCAAAAGGAAAAATGTGTCCTTTTAAAATCCTGAGGACTGTGCCTCTCATTCAAAATGATCCCACCGCTTTGCCACCATGTCAAGCCTAATTCCCCACTCTGGCACTTCGAGTGCAGAAGGTGGGAGCCCGCAAGGATTCTAAAAAATAATATTAGCCACTACAGGCTTGTATTAAACTCCCAAGGTTACGGCTTTTCACTGACCTTGGATTGGTAGATGCTGCCACCACTCAAGTGCAGAACCCCACTGAGAGCCCAGGAAGGCGCACTTTGGAATTCCTTCCTGTGGGGTACCATCTATCCCTTTCACCCCCATCCGGGGAAGAGCCGAGAAAGAAGAAAAAAAAAAGGAAATCAGCTGTTGCCACCAGCTAATTAAACAACATGCACAAACCTCTTAAGACAAAAATCCAATTCTATTCTTAAAAATGGTAAATTTTATTAATAAAATAAAGGAAAGAAAATACATCTGGGAATACATTTGGCTATTGCTAGATTTTAAAAGAGCAAAACTACAAGGACTAAGCACCAAGAATCATTTTCTGATCTACTTACATATCTGGGGTTTTAAATGAGTAGCTCTAGGTATGACACTAATGACTTCTTCATAACTGGCCCAAGCTTCTTAAAGGATAGCTGTTGCCCTGGCCACCTCTCCCCTGTAGAACAACAACAGACAGACAAAAGGGGAGTTTTTTTTTTTCAATTTTAAAATGTTCTAGCCTTCCCATTGGCTCTTTTGGCCAGGTGCCCACTCATTTGGCATAGCAGTGAGACTTTTTAACCCTTTACAGGTAGAGCAATTAGGGAACAGCTACTAAAAAGGATTTTATAGCTACTGGCTGGCTCGGTGTCCATAAAAGGGAGCCCCGCCCCTTTCATTTATCACAACTTCCAACATTTTAATAGAAGTTTATCAGTTTTCAGTAAAAACGTGAAACTTGAAATATTTTGGTTTGCAAAGTTTTGTTGAAAAAAATGGAAAATTTTAAAAGAAATAAGCTTTCTGTGAACATTTTCATTTTAAAAGGCCATTTTTCACTGAAAAAATATTTTGATTGAAAATTTTTAATCAGCTCTGCTTGGGGGAATGTAAGGGTGAGGCTGTGCCAAGAAAACCCATCAGAAAAGGTGCATTGCATAAAAAAGTTATGGGAGATGGTTATAAGTGTGGGGATGACACAGGTTGACACTGGTCCTTTAGGAGGGAACTGAGCCATTGCACCTGTTACTGGTCAGCTGACTCCAGCTGAGCTTTAAAGGAAGGCACCTGGGCCTAAGGAGACATGGGACCCTTACTACCTGCTCCCTGGTAACAGGGAGTCTGGGAAACCTAGGATTGCCAGAGTCCCCTGGAAGGAGAGAGAGGGAAGCAGGAGCAGCAGGACTGCCAGAGTTCCTTGGGATGGGCAGTAGAAGGAACTGGAGAATTAAAGGGGGAAAAACCCCTGGGAGCTGGGGTGAACTGAAGAACTGTGTTTTTGTTGATCTGACTGAAGTTTGGACAATAAAATTACATAAAAGAGACTGTGGTTGTGTCAGTAAGTCCTTAGCAAGCTGGAGAGGAGCTACTACAGGGCAAAACTATGGTTCTGTTGCATTACGTTGACGATGTAGAGATGTTGGGTCTCTTCTGCTCTAGAATACATTAGGTAAAGTATGTTAAAAAGTGGGGTGGGGGTGCAATAAGTGTAGGGGCAGTGTTGAGGTGCTTTATGCACAATCCTACTGGGGTCATTACCAGCTGAGGAAAGGGGTGCATTGAGGAATTCTTTGCCTGCACTCAGAGGCACACTGTGGATAACACCACACTCCACATAAGGGCAAATAAGGAGACTCTGGACCTCCCATTTCTATTAAGGGTGATGATGAGGTGCCAGCCACAGGCAGCAATCTCCTTACATGACATTCATTGAAGGGAAACCAAGGCCAGGTCCTCAAAGAGGAGGAGGGACAAAGGGATCAAAAATCATCTTTCTACTGGCAAGCCTGTGGACAGCCCACAAGCTCCTATGCAAGGACTTCATCTGGACAAGTTACACTGCTTACAGATGCTATACAAATTCAATTGCACTGAATATTAACACAGTGCTTTAGTCAAATTGCACAGTGTCTGTCTCAAATGAGTAATTGTTTCAATATTCTATTATAAACACTCAGACATATTTTAATGTGCCTGAAGCTAGTTTAGACTTAGCACTGCCTTGTAACTACTCTTCCTAAATGTTTCTCTTAATTATTTTGAGTCCCCCAGAGAACCTTGGGGCTTCCTTTCCCCGCTCCTGTCTTCCAACCTGGTTGACTTGGTTCAGAAAAAAACTGAAAATGAGTTATAATGAAAGTATGTTTTCAATATATATATATATATATAAAACAATTTTAATGTTAACTTAGTGCTGATAAAAGATGTTGCATTAACAACACCAGAGACTAACACCTTTTATATTTATCCACATAAAAAAGGACAGACTAACCAGTGACAATGCAGCTTCTTGCATACATAGACTTCCAATGCACCTTAATTCTATGTGGAGCAGCCCCCTTTAGTTCAACACTCCAGGTATTAGCTGTGTTTGGCCTTCTCTGACAAGAGAAGGTGGTGGTTTTGGGGATGTGGAAATTTGCCTTATAGTACACTATCTTGTGGTTGATTCCATCAGTTTTCACATGTAAAGCAGGGCTCAGTACTTGGTTTAGATAGGGACACCTAAGTGCTGCAGGATGTCATTAGTATATTATCAACCTTGACTGGGGACTAAATCTGATTTCAGATGCCACTGATTTTGTTGGGAGCAGTATTGCCAATTCCAAGCATTTAAAAAAAAAATCAGGAATCTGCCCCTGCCTCAAAAAATCATGCATATGGCTTCAAAAATCATGAGACTTACTTCTTAAAAAGAATACATTTTGGGTTATTATTATTTTCCACCTGGTTTCTGAGCCTTTCATTTTCCAGTTTTTCTTCCACAACCAAGAGGACTAGAAACTTATTTTTTAAAAGAGTGAAAACTGAGTGTCTTGTAGAGACCCATATCTCCAGAAGCTGGGGCTTGAAGAAAAACACCAAATATCACAAGACTTGTGATAAAATCATGAGAGCTAAAATCATCAACACTATGAGAGCAGGATCAGTCTTTAAGTACACAAACAGTTAGAGCACTGCTTCCCACTCTGCAGCCTAATCAGCACACAGCTGTGGCCCATGTGACATCCTCAGGGCCATACATGCATGGTATATATTGTGTGGCTGCAGTCCACATAACACCCAGAGAGCTGCATACACAGCCACAATGGTAAATAGGTTGAAAACCACTGGTTTAGAGCTAGGGTTTAGCTACATCCCATTTTGGCTGGGACAGTCCCTTTCTTAAGCCCTATCCCACCATCCTGACTTTTTTTTCCAAAAGTGGGCATTTGTCCTGTTTGTTCTTACCAACTGACAAACGCCCGCTTTTGTCAAATAAGTGGGGTGCAGAGGAACATGCAGGAGGCAAGCAGCGATACCAGATCCATGCCAGGGAGGAGGCAGGGGGCAGGCAGGGTTCAAGCGCGCTGCAATGCTAGCCCGAATCTCATGCGGGGGGGTAGGCAGGGCTTGGGTGAGCAGCGATGCCAGTCCTGTGACGGGGGGAGGGGCGCTCCGGTGAGCGGCGTGGGCCAGCTCTGCACTGGGCGGGGGGGGGGGGGGTAGGGAGAAGCCCTGGCTAACCCCGTGCAGGGGAGAGGGAGCACGGACTATCCCTGAGAGGAGGAGGGGGGCTCAGATGAGCAGCTCACGCCGGCCCCCGGCGGGGAAAGAGGGCTTGTGCTAGCCTCATGGGGTGTCCAATTTTCCCTTTGGGAAATAAGATCACCCTATTTAGAGCCATACTGAACAAAACAAAACGGAGGGGGGCGTGAATGAATTTCAGACTGGAACTTGTCTTGGCACGGTGCGAAAGGGAGGAGCCCTGCATGGGCTGGGAAGCATCATCTCTGAGGGAGTGAGACGATAGCCCTGCCTCACAAACGGGGTAGCCCGGCACTGCAGGCTGGGGACCGCGGGGAAGGCCGCACTGCGCTTGGGAATTCCAGGGTTCCCAACGCCTGCAGCAATTGACCAGCAGGCAGGCGTTGTTGATGTTGTGAAGCTCCCACTCCCGGAGGCGTGTAACGCTGCGAAACCCTGGCTGCCTATAAAGCCAGAGGAAGTTCCTGGCCCTAGTGTCTCTGAGGGAGCTGTCAGGGTGCGCGGGGCACGGCGAAGAGTCCAAGGATGCTGGGCAGGGGGAGCCCCGCGCTGAAGGTAGAAACGGGACGATGTCCCTGTTAGCGCGCAGCAGCCCGGTCCCCCGACCCCATGGTTTTCACCTCTGCAGCCCCGCCCACTGCGCGCTCTGCTCGCCGCCATGTTGTGGCTCTACGCAGTTGCTTTTCCTCTAAGTCCTCCCCTTTTCGTACCTTTTTTCTCGCGAGAGGCGGGTGCTCGAGCGCGCTCTCTCCCTCCCCTTTTCGGAGCAGGTTCTCGCGGAAGCGATGGAGGTTTTGAGGTAATTCTCGCGAGAGCTGGTTGCCTTGGCTCCCCGTAGCTATAGCAGCGGGGTGGGGGACGAAGCGAGCGAGGATGCTGCGGGCTCCGGTGGGACGCGTCTCAGGCGGGTGAGTAGTTACGGCAAGTGCTAACTTCCATAAGCCCGCGCGGGGCGGGGAGCCCCCCTTCGCCTGTGCGCCCCGACGCACCCTGGGAGTGGAGCCCGGGGGACCTGACTCCCCTGTTAGGGGGGAGCCCGTACACCCAGCTCCAGGGTGCTGGGCCCGTTCGTCTCCATCCCAGCCCCGGGGAAGACCGCGACCTCCTGCCCCTATCCCCGGGGAGAACTCTGCCCCAGAGCAACGACCCTGTCCTGGGTGGGAGCCTCCTGTCCCCAGGAATCGCTGCCGTCCCAGCAGTGCCGTATCCTCGGGCCCCTCGGGAGAGTGGGAAGAAAGGGTCAAGAGGCGCCGGGAGGGGGTTCCTGGGGAGTTGGTGGTCTCGGCCGTGGCGGCACCCCAGGCGGTGAGTGTGTGAGAGGGGTCTAACGCCCACGGACCACGCAGGACAAGAGGTCGGTGGGTGCTAG